CTCTGCGTTCCGCAGCGCCCAGCACGGAGCCGGACACCCTCTCTGCGTTCCGCAGCGCCCAGCACGGAGCCGGACGCCCTCTCTGCGTTCCGCAGTGCCCAGCACAGAGCCAGATACCACTCTCTGCGTTCAGCAGTGCCCAGCACGGAGCTGGACAAACAGGAGGCCCTCTGTGCCTGGTGACTGCTGGGGAGCTGGTGAGGCCATTCTCCCACCTGCTACTCACTTTCTGCTCATCTCTGGAACATTCCAAGTTTATCCAGCATGACCACCGGCTGCCAGCACCCCCTTGCTGCCCTCTCCTGGTTCCCCAGTAACCACGGACCTTTCCCACGGCTGTGGGCCCCCCTGTGCAATGCATGTGGCTGTCCCTCCCAGCAAAAGGGGTTGTCTGTTTCTCTCCCTGGATCTTGCTGGCCCGTGACAGGCATGGACCCACAGAACACAACGACATGACATCTGGGAGTTCTAGGACTAGGCCCTGAGAGGATGCTGTGTCCACTCTCACTCTCTTGGAACCCTGAAGGCACAGTCTGAAGAACCTGGGGGCTGTGAGGATTAAAGACCACGCAGAGAGAGTGGCCTGCCGCTGGCCAGCATGTGGGGGGAGAGACCATCTCAGCCCAGCCAGCGCAGCCCAGCCCAGCCCAGCCGCCAGACATCTGCAGAAGAAGCGCCCAGCTGTGCCCAGCCCAGATTGCTGACCCTTAGAATTGAGAACAAATAAAATGGTGGTTGTTTGAAGTCACTCGGTTTTGGGGTGGTTTGTTACACAACAATAGAGAACTAAGACACCCTCTGTATTAGCTTCCTAGGGCTGCCGCAACAGAGCCTGGGTGACTGAAAATAACAGGACCTTCTTATCTGACAGTTCTGGAGGCCAGAAGTCCTAAATCAGTGTGTCCACAGGGCCATACTCTCTCTCAAGGCTCTAGGGGAAGATCCTTCCTTGTCTCTTCCAGCTTCTGGCTCCCGGCAACCCTTGACATCTTTCAGCTTATAGCTATATCATTCCAATCTCTGCTTCTATCTTCACATGCCCATCTTCCCTCTGCGTGTGTCTCTGTCTCTTCCCTTTATAAGGACACCACTCAGGTTGGCTTAGCGTCCACCCTACTGCAGTATGACCTCAAGTTAACGCATTACATCTTTAAAGGCTCTATGTCTTAACAAGGTCATATTCACAGGTACAGGGGTTAGGACTTCAACATATCTTTTTAGGGGACACAATTCAATCCATAGCAGCACCCCAGCCCCAATTCCTCTCGAGCTGCCCTCCTCTTACTGCTGGAGCAGCCAAGCTAGCTGCTGAAGCCCCCCAGGCACAGGACCGCACTCCTCCCTGCCTCCTTCCCCGGGTCTGCAGCAGACGGAAGGTGTGTGGCGAGCCTGCGCACACACATCCAACAACGTGCGCGTCTCTTCAATCCCTCTGACAGCTCACACGCCATGAGTAGTTTCCCGTGTCAGGTCTAATTTTTGAAAGACCACCTGTGAATCCCTGATGCACTAATTAATCTCAGTGCACTGAGCTGGTGGGCTCGCTGAAATGATCAATTTTTAAATGTTCTGTTTCATCTGAAACAGGGCTGTTCAAGAGGGACAAATGTGGTGAATTGTAAAACTCCTTAACGGGGTATCGTAAGGCCTCCTAAAAGCCACACGTAAGTATATCATTCGATTTGCTATTTTCAATACATTTGGAGCCTTTTAGCCTTCTTAAGAATCACCCTCTGGCTTTCTCTAAGAGACAAGAGATGCTTGACACTGTCTGTCAAAGGAACTCCTAGTTTAGACATGTGCCCTCCCCCACCCCATTGATGGAGCTAATGGGAGACGGAAAAGTGAACAGGGACGGCGCATCTCTAACCATCCGGTATACCTACCTCCTCTTTCTCTCTTCCCCTTGTTCTCTCCCAACATTCTTTTTTTTTAATCTACTAGTTTTTTGTTTCATTTTTAAAATACTTATTTTAATTTTGTTGTTGTTGAAAATATATAAAGCAGAACATACACCAATTCAACAATTTCTAACTGTACACTTCAGTGACATTGGTCACATTCTTCCAGTTGTGCAACCATTCTCCCCCTCCTTTTCTGAGTTGCTCCTCCCCCATTCACACAGACTCGCTGCCCCCTAAGCTTTCTATCTAACCTACGAGTTGCTGTTGTCAATTTGATCCCATGTAGACAGACAGCACACGGCAGCAACAGATAGTTCTTTAAAAGAGCGCGATGCTCAAGGCAGGCATTCTTTATTCATTAAGTTATTGTCTGGTTTAAAGAAGACTTCAGGGGATACTTTGGGTTTAAGGTTTAAAGATTATCTCAGGGTGACAGTTTGGGGAGTTCATCCAGGCTCCACGGCTCTCTCAACGTTCTTAAAGCTTACCTTCTAAAATAATGAAGAATCCAAAGGCTTTGGAAATAACTCAGTTCTAACATTACAAATCTGAAGAAAGCACGTGGAGGAAGGAAAGCTAGGGCAGAAGCTTGCCTGGAAATCTCATCCTAAGACTAAGGGACCATCGGGTGGACAATGACCCCCCCCCCACACGCTTGCATCCCGGCTGAAGCAGCAGCATGGGGCCCGGCGCACCGAGGGGAAGCAGGATCCAGAAGAGCAGAGAGCATGGATCACTTACTCTGAGGTCGTGGTCAGCTCCTCTGTGATGTGGTTGGAATGCAGGAGGCCTTCCCGTTTCTGAAAACCCAAAAACAATAAGTAAACAAGAAAACAAACCAACAAACCCTCCCTGACCGTGCAGGCAGAGAGGCGAGGCAGGACGGGACAACAGACAGTGTTGCTGCAGCCGTGCGCAGATACAGCACTGGCCGGGAGACCAACTTGGAAAGGCCTGACAGAAGTTAGTCAGAATTGACCAGCTCAGAAAGCGTGGATGGATGTAGTGAACACCCAAGCCACTCCCGGGTGAGGGGACTGCAGCTGACCACAGGAGTGACCCTTCTGGTGTCTGACCTGCCCCCAGCCTTCTCCCCCACCTTCTGTTCACAATGCCTTCAGAGCTGGCAGCTGTGTGGGTCTCAGGAGCTTCTATATCCTACGGCTCGGAAGGGTGAGGAGCACAGTCAGAAAGAAGAGCCAAAGCTGAGGAAAATCCTAATGCAATTATGCATGTGACACACTTTTTCCCCGAGACTGCCAGGCAGAGGCAACAATCGTAGCGGAGGTGCAAGCGGTATTAACGTTAAGTCAGAGTGGTGGAGGTGGGTGTGGTGGTGGAGGTGGGAGTGGTGGAGGTGGGGGTGGTGGAGGTGGGAGTGATGGAGGTGGAGGTGGG